CATGCTGACTTTGGCAGCACATAGACTACAACTGGAATGATACAGAGAAGACTGGGATGATCCCTGTGCAAGGATGACACACAAATTCATGAAGTGTTTTTTTTTATAGTTGTATTTTTAAAGTTAAAAAACATCACTTGGGTAAAACTTGCTTTTCAATAATGTCACATTTCATGATATTAGCCATAAATATCTGACGTCTTGCATTTGGAATTGGTTATCTAAGAGTTGTTCTCACTAGAAGATCTGCCTGGCAGCATGCTCAGTGGTCAAAATGTTATCTTCTTCTCAGCTCATGTTTCCATGCAAGTGGTCGTGATAAAGTGTTTCATGTCCATAGTTATTTATTGAATAATGTATTGAGTAATAGAACAGATTTGGAAATCTGATAGGAGCAGGGCAGTCACACTATTTAATAGGAATTATAGGTAGACTCTAATTTATGAACTTACCTTCAAAGGTGTATTGTAAGTTGATTGGTCAGCGGTCAACTTCCATTTCACTTGTTGGATGTGTTTGTCACACATAGTCTGAAGGAGCCTATGTGAGCCACAATAAAGGATTATATAGAATTATAGCACTAATACCTCTCCTGGTCCAATTACTGCATTCTGGAAACAGGCTATAAGATAAAGCCGTGTCTGACACCCATTTTTCCTGACGTAGACTAAGAATCAGGAACATGTTGAAAATAGAAATGGCAGTGCTTTAAAATGAACTGATTGACCTTTTTTTTTTTTTGTAACTGGTGAGATTTCACTAGTTTAGCATTAATAAAATGAAGTTGCTGGGCGTGGTGGCTCACGCCTGTAATCCCAGCACTTTGGGAGGCTGAGGCGGGCGGATCACGAGGTCAGGAGATCGAGACCATCCTGGCTAACACGGTGAAACCCTTTCTCTACTAAAAATACAAAAAACTAGCCGGGCGAGGTGGCGGGCGCCTGTAGTCCCAGCTACTCGGGAGGCTGAGGCAGGAGAATGGCGAGAACCCGGGAGGCGGAGCTTGCAGTGAGCCGAGATCGCGCCACTCACTCCAGCCTGGATGACAGAGCGAGACTCTGTCTCAAAAAAAACAAAAAACAAAAAGAAATGAAGTGAAAATTTCTTGTAAGGTGCTCCTATGTTACCATTGACAGGCTCTGTTTATCAGTGGGAATTCTTGTATTCAAGGTTATTTCCAGAACACAGTTTGGGAGGGATGGTTGGCAAAGCCTAAGGAATTGATGCCAGATGTGGAGGGCCGTGGGCTTTGCCATCCATTGGAATGTCCTCTGGGGTGGCTCCCAGGTGTGCGGTGATGTCCATCAAGAAGAGCGTCAGAGGGCCACTGAGGACGGCCTTTGCATTTGGTGGTGTTGCTCTTGTTCTTTCTCTTGATTGGTTGAATGCGCTGCTAAGGAATCGGTGAATTGAACTGCTTAATGTTTAGTGTTATCATCTTGTCCTCAACTTCCAGTCATCTAGAACTCCTTGCTGAGTGACTATTTGGGAGGAGGAAGGTGAATGATACCGTTTCGGGAGCCTGCTAGGATGGAAGGCTTCCAGAACGTGGTCATGGAATGCTGGCCCTGTTCACAAAGTCAGCCTCTGGTGGGGAGGCTTAAAGACTCCTTTATTCTTTCGGTAAATACTGAACGCTTACTGTATGTTGGGAAGATGTAAGAAATGTGTTTTCCATGGAATGCAAGAGAATAAGGCAGTTGTTTTTGGCTGTCTTTACACCTTAACTTGGATTTACTGTTTCAATTTTGGCGATGAGTGTTAAGCTTTAGCTGACTTTCTGTGTTTCTGGAGGCTTGCTTGAAAGGGAAGTTACACTTTGAGCAGCTACTGAACTTTGCCTCTTTTAGATCGGTCTCTGGAGAACAGCTGTCAACTTCAATTTTTCTCGTAGCTGGAAAATCAGACTCTGGCATTGTCTGTGGATTCTCGCTTTCTGCCGCATTCTGGAGGTCAGACTCCTATGGTGCCTTGTGATTTGTGAGGATCAGGTAGACCCAGACCCATACTTTGCCAGACCCTATTTTCTAATGGAATGTTTCCCATATGCACCTAATTCTGAGTTATGGAGAGGAGCATGTCCAACATACGTGTAACAAGAGCCACCCCGTGAGTCGGGCTCCTCAGAAGAGGGTTTGCGGATGGATGTTATTACCAGGTTCTGTCCTCTCCTGGGAAGCCTCCAGATCTTCCCATCTCCAGAAAGGAAAAAGGCCAATGTGTCAACATGAGTGACAAGGCCAATGTGCTGGCCCTTTGTCACATCCATTTCAGTTCTCTCCATACTTCTCCACCTCCGTTGGCCCAAATTGGGCTCTTTACTGTCCCTCCTACAAGGGGAGCAACGGGAACTCTCCCACCTTGGCGTTTCTGCACTTGCTGTCCCCTCCCTCTGCAGAGCTCTTCCCCTGTGTGTCCATGATACTTGCTCCTGCTCCTTCCCCTCCTTTAGGACCTAGTTCACAGGTCACCTTCTCAGTGAAACTTTCCCTCGCCACTCTGTTGAAAATAATCCCTTGCTCCCAGCCCCAGCCATTGTACCCTTCTGTATCCTCCTTCCCCGTTGTGTTTTCCTCTGCAGTATTCATCACCATCTATGCTGGCATGTGTTCTATTTATTTTTTAAAAAAATCTCTTTTCTCCTCTAGAGTGCAATTTCCTTGAGGGTGTGCGTTTTTGACCACCTGGTTCCCTTCAGTATCTCCAGGGCCTGGCACACTGCCCTAGTGCATAATTAGGACTGAGGAAGTATCTATTGCACATGATGGATGGATGGATGGATGGATGGATGGATGAATTTTTCATAAAACCCTGCCATCTTCATGTCACCCTGTTTCAGGAAACACACTGGTCTCATGTTTAGAGGGAGTCTGAGTGAATAATAGAGAGATGTTCCTGTTTGCTCCTGGCCACTTACCTCCAGCACCCAAACTCTGAGGTCTTAGGTTTCCATGCAGCTAGAGCCCCTCCTTGCTGTGACTAGCCAGGAGGGCAGCGATGCTGACACATGCATTTCATCCCACGAGTGGGAATGTCTTTAGGGGAGGGGTGGCTTATTTACTTGGGTGAATAAACTATCCTGTTGGGAAGTTCTGTCATTCACCCATTTACTCCTGGAGATGTTTTCCCCTGGCAGAGTGAATGGTCAAACATCTCCCATCTTACTACATTTTAAAAAATTGCTACATAATACTTGTATTGACACATATTTTAAAAGTACATGTGATAATTTGATACATTCATATAATGTGTAAAGATCAAATCAAGTTGATTGGGATATCCAGTGCCTTAAATATTTATTTCTATGCTAGGAACATTTTAATTATTCTGTTCTAGATATACTGAAGTGTACAACAGATTACTGTAAACTGTAGTCACCTTGCTGATCTTTCAAATACCAGCTCTTATTTTCTCTACCTGACTGTGTGTTTGTACCCATTAATCAACCTCTCTTCATCTCTTCCTCCGTGCTACCGCTCCTGGCCTCTGGTCACCACCAGTGTGCCCTCTCTCTTCACGATATCCACTTTTCTAGCTCTCACATATGAGTGAGAACATGTGATATTTGTCTTTTTATGCCTGGCTTATTTCACTTAACATAATGACCTCTGGTTCCATTTATGTTGCTGCGAATGACAGGATCTCATTCTTTTTTTGTGGCTGAATAGTACTCCATTGTGTATATATGCCAGATTTTCTTCATCCATTCATCTATTGATGTCCACTTAGGTTGATTCTGTATTTTGGCTATTGTAAATATTCTGAATAGTGCTGCAATAGGTATGACACTGCAGATATCTCTTTGATATATTGATTTTCTTTCTTTTGGGTCTATAGCCAGCAGTGAAATTGCTGGATTATATGGCAGTCCCTACTTTTAGTTTTTAGGTTTTTTTTTTTTTTTTTGAGATGGAGTCTCGCTCTGTCTCCCAGGCTGGAGTGCAGTGGTGCAATCTCGGCTAACTGCAAGCTCCGTCTCTTGGGTTCCACGCCATTCTCCTGCCTCAGCCTCCCGAGTAGGTGGGACTACAGGTGCCGCCACCACACCCGGCTAATATTTTTTTGTGTGTGTGTGTGGTTTTTTTTTTTTTTTTTTTTTAAGTAGAGACAGGGTTTCACCATGTTAGCCAGGATGGTCTTGATCTCCTGACCTCATGATCCGCCCGCCTCGGCCTCCCAAAGTGTTTGAATTACAGGCGTGAGCCACTGCTCCCAGCCCTATTTTTAGTTTTTTGAGGAACCTCCGTGCTGTTTTCTATACTGGCTGTACTCATTTACTTTCCCGCCATCAGTGTACAAGGGTTCCGCCTTTTGCATATCCTTGCCAGCATTCAATCTTTCCTGTCTTTTTTATAATAGTCATTTACACTGTAGTGAGATGATATCTCATTATAGTTTTGATTTGCATTTTTCTGATGGTTAGTGATGTTGAGCATTTTCCTGTTGGCCATTTGTGTGTCTCTTTTGAGAAATGTCTATTCAGATCTTTTATGCATTTTTAAACCGTATTATTTTATTTATTTATTTATTTATTTTTGCTGTTGAGTTGTTTGGGCTCCTTATTATATTCTGGTTATATTCTCCTTATTTATCCCTTGTCAGATGGATAGCTTATAAGTATTTTCTCCCATTCTGTGGGTTGTCTCTTTGTTGATTGTTTTCTTCATTCTGCAGAAGGTTTTTAGCTTGATGTAACCTTATTTGTCTATTCTTGCTTTGGTTGCCTGTGCTTTTGAGGTCTTATACAAAAAAAATCTTTGTCTAGACCAATATCCTGGAGTATTTCCCCAATGTTTTATTTTAGTAATTTCCAGTTTCAGGTCTTAGATTTGAGCCTTTAATCTATTTTTATTTGATTTTTGTATGATGAGAGATAGGGGTCTAGATTCATTCTTTGATATATAATTACCAGTTTCCCCAGCATCATTTATTGAAGAAACTGTCCTTTCCGCACTGTATGTTCTTGGCACCTTTGTTAAAATGAGTTGACTGTAGACCAGTGCTGGGATCGGGCTGCGCCGTGTTATGGCCCTGTACCACACCGAGGAGCGCGGCCAGCCTTGCTCACAGAATTATCGCCTCTTCTTCAAGAATGTAACTGGTCACTACATTTCCCCCTTTCATGACATTCCTCTGAAAGTGAACTCTAAAGAGGAAAATGGCATTCCTACGAAGAAAGCACGAAATGATGAATATGAGACTCTGTTTAATATGATTGTAGAAATACCTCGGTGGACAAATGCTAAAACGGAGATTGCCACCAAAGAGCCACTGAATCCCATTAAACAATGTGTAAAGGATGGAAAACTATGCTATGTGGCGAATATCTTCCCTTACAAGGCTTATGTATGGAATTATGGTACCCTCCCTCAGACTTGGGAAGATCCCCCTGAAAAAGATAAGAGCACGAACTGCTTTGGAGATAATGATCCTATTGATGTTTGTGAAATAGGCTCAAAGATTCTTTCTTGTGGAGAAGTTTTTCATGTGAAGATCCTCGGAATCTTGGCTCTTATTGATGAAGGTGAAACAGATTGGAAATTAATTGCTATCAATGTGAATGATCCTGATGCCTCAAAGTTTCATGATGGGGTCTCACTATGTTGCCCAGAATGATCTCGAACTCCTAGGCTCAAGCAATTCTCCCACCTCAGCCTCCCACGTAGCTGGGATTAGGGGCATGCCATGGCACCTAGCTCCAGGCTGAATTTGACAACAGATATTTTTAGCAACGTTTTATTGAATTCTTTCAGAACATTCAAATTACCTTCATAAAGACAAAAACTTTTTTGTACTCATAAATTCACTGGTGTATGTAATATTTAATTACATCTCATAATTATAATAAAAGATACAGTTAGCATAAATGGTTTGGGAATAAGCACACCTGATGCTTGGTAAAGGTAAAACTTGACTGATGGAAACAAAAGTGTGGGCTTCCTTCTAGAGTATTCTGCCAGAGGCAGCATACATAATATGTGAACGTGAATCAGAATGTTCTACAGAAGTAGAGTCTTTACTAATCAGTCCAGTAAGTTGATCAAGTAGAGTTCGATTAAAAGAGCTTAATTTGTAATCAAAATTAGAAACTGAAATAGATTTAGCTTGATTACATATAGAGCTTTTCCAGATTATCCTAACTTTATTGGATTAGTTCATCTTTAAAAGTCATACAAAATTAATTCCACAAGTGGGAATAAATGACTACTAGAGAATTGCCACTTTTCTTAAAATAACATAGATTGTAAAAAATGTATCTAATCAAAGATGTCCTACAAATAGATAGTGTTGATGGTTGCACAAAATTGTAGACATACTTAATGTAACTGAATTATACACTTAAAATGCTTAACATGGCAAATTTTATGTTACGGATATTTTATCACAATAAAAGAAAACTGAAAAAAAAATGAGTTGACTATAAATGCATGACTTTATATCTGGGTTCTCTCTAGTTCTCTTTTTTTAAGTGATGGGGTCTCACTATGTTACTGGTCTCAAACTCCAGGCTTCAAGTGATTCTCCCACCTTGGCCTCCCAATGGCTTCTCTATTCTGTTCCATTGGTCTATGTGACTATTTTTATGCCAGTACTGTGCTGATTTGGTTACTATAGTTTTGTAGTATGTTTTGAAATCAGGTAGTGAAGTCAGCTTTGTTCTTTTGCTCAGGATTGCTTTGGCTATTCAAGATTTGTGGTTCCATATAAAGTTTAGGATTTTTTTTTTCCTGTCTCTGTGAAGAATATCATTGATATTTTGATAGGGATTATATTGAATCTGTAATTTGCTTTGGGTGGTGTTGTCACTTGAATAATATTAATTCTAATCCATGAGCATGGAATATCTTTCCATTCTTTGGTGTCCTCTTCAATTTATTTCATCAGTGTATTAATAGTTTTTCTTATATAAATCTTTCACTTCTCTGGGGAAATTGATTCCTAGGTATTTTATGTTCTTTGTAGTTACTGTAAATGAGATTGTTTTCCTGATTTCTTTTTCAGATTATTTGCTGTTGGCATATAGAAATGCTACTGATTTTTATATGTTGATTTTGTATCCTGCAAGTTGCAATCATGTCCTCTGTGAACAAGGCTAATCTGACTTTTTCCTTTCCAGTTTGGATGCCCTTTATTTCTTTCTCTTGCCTACTTTCTCTGACCAGGACTTCCAATACCATGTTTAGTAACAGTGGTGAAAGTGGGCATCCTTATCATGTTTCAGACCTTAGAGGAAAGGCTTTCAATTTTTCCCAATTCAGTATGATGTTGGTTGTGGGTTTGTCATGTATGGCCATTATTATTTTGAAGTATATTCCTTCTGTGTCTAGTTTGTTGAGGATTTTTATCTCAAAGAGATGTTGGATTTTATCATATACTTTTTTCAACATCTACTAAAATGATCATGTGGTTTTTGTTCTTGGTTCTGTTAAAGTCATATATCACATTTATAGATTTGTATATGTCAAACCATCCTTGCATCCCTGAGAGGAATTTCACTTGATCATGGCAAACGATTTTTTTAATATGTTGGTGAATTCATTTTGCTAGTATTTGGTTAAGAATTTTTGCATCTACTGGCTGGGCGTGGTGGCTCATGCCTGTAATCCCAGCATTTTGGGAGGCCAAGGTGGGTGAATCACTTGAGGTCAGGAGTTCAAGACCAGCCTGGCCAACATGGTGAAACCCCATCTCTACTGAAAATACAAAAAGATAGCCAGGTGTGGTGGCACATGCCTGTAATCCCAGTTACTCTGGAGGCTGAGACAGAAAACTAGCTTGAACCCAGGAGGTGCAGAGTGTGGTGAGCCAAGATCACACCACTGCTCTCCAGCCTGGGCAACAGGGCTTGACTCTGTCTCAAAAAAAAAAAAAAAAGAATTTTTTCATATATGTTCATCAGTGATATTGACCTATAGTTTTCTTGCCTGGTTTTAGTATCAGGGTGGTGCTGGCCTCATAGAATGAGTTTGGAAGTATTCCACGGTCTTCAATTTTTTTTCAAGGCTTTAGGAGAATTTATTTATTTATTTATTTTTTTGAGTCAGGGTTTCACTCTCATTACCCAGGCTGGAGTGCAGTGCTGCAATCTTGGCTCACTGCAACCTTGACTTCTGGGGCTTAGATCCTCCCACCTCAGCAACCTCCTGAGTAACTGAGACTTCAGGCACACACCACCTTGCCTGGCTAGATATTAGTTCTTCTTTAAATGTTTCATAGAAATCAGCAGTGAAACCATCTGGTCGTGGACTTTTCTTTAATGGGAGGCTTCTTCTTATGGCTTTGATTTAGTTACTTGTTATTGATTGGTTGAAGTCTTCTGTCTCTTTGTGGTTCAGTCTTGGTAGGTTTTATGTACCAGAGAATTTATCCATTTCTTCTTGGTTTCCAATTTGTTGGTGCATAATTGTTCATAATAGTCTCTAATGATTTTCTTTTTTGTATTTCTGTGGTCTCAGTTTTTATGTTGCCTTTTTCATTTCTGGTTTTATTTGAGTGTTCTCTTTTCTTCTTAGTCCAGCTAAGGATTTGTCAATTTTGCTTATCTTTTCAAAAATTTGAGTTTTTGTTGCATTGATCTTTTGTACTTTTTTTAGTCTCAATTTTATTTATTTCTGCTCTTACATTTATTATTTCTTTTCTTCTACTAATTTTGGGTTTGGTTTGTTCTCGTTTTTCTAATCTCTTAAGGTGCTCTTAAGTCTTTCTACTTTTTTGATGTAGGTGTTTATTGCTATAAACTTCCCTTTTACCATTGCTTTTGCTGTATCCCATAGATTTTGATATGTTATATTTCCATTTCCATTTGTTTCAAGAAATTTAAAATTCTCCTTCTTAATTTCTTCATTGACCTCAGTTGTTGAGGAACATGTTATTTACTTTCCATGTGTTTATGTAGTTTCCAGGGTTCCTACTGTTATTGATTTCTAGTTTATTTCATTGTGGTCAGGAAAAAATAATTGATATGATTTCTACTTTTTTGAATGTGCTGGGACTTGATTTATGGCCTAAGATACAGTCTTTTCTAAAGAATGTTCTGTATACCAATGAAAAGAAAATGTATTCTGCAGCAGTTGGGTGAAATATTCTGTAAATGTGAGTTAGTCTTGTTTTGTCTAGTATACAATTTAACTCTGGTGTTCCTTTGCTGATTTTCTGTCTAGATGATCTGTCCATTACTGACAGCGGGAAGCTGAGGTCCCCTTCTACTATTGTATTGTGGTCTATTTCTTGCTTTAGATATATTAATGTCTGCTTTATATTTTTGGGTGCTCTGGTATTGAGTGCATAGATGTTTATAATTGCCTTTATCATTATATAATGATCTTCTTTGTCTTTGACTTGTAGTCTGTTTTGTCTAGTATAAGAATAGGTAATCCTACTATCTTTTGGTTTTCACTTGTATGGAATATCTTTTTCCATCTCTTTCATTCTATGTGTGTCTATATAGGTAATACTGGTTTCTTGTAGGCAGCATATAGCTGAATCTTGTTTCTTTATCCATTCAGCTATATATATCTTTTAATTAGAGCATTAAGTTCATTTACATGCAGTGTTATCATTGATAAGTAAGGACTTACTACTGCCATTTTTCTGCTTGTTTTCTCATTGTTTGGTAACCAGCTTTCTTCCTTCCTTCCTTCCTTCCTTCAATCCTCCTTTTCTTTTTTCCATCTTCCTTTGTGGTTAAGTGATTTTCTCAGGTAATATGTTTTAATTTGTTGCTTTTTATTTTTAGTGTATCTATTATAGGTTTTTGCGTTGTGGTCATCACAAGACTTGCAAAAACATCTTGTGGATATAACAAGTTATTTTTAAAGAGATAACTTATCTTAGATCACAGAAAGGAATAGAAACAATAAACTAAAAAAACCTCTGTGTTTTAACTCCATCTCCCCTACATATTGATTTTTTTGTTACCTCAATTTGGATATATTTACACTGCCTATTTCTTAGCAGGTTGCTCTGTGTGTTTTTGTTTTTTATAGATTTGTCTTCCGGGCTTCATACTAGAGTTATGAGTGGATTGCACACCACAATTACAGTATTAGAGTATTCTTGGTATGTCTATATGCTTAATTTTACTAGTGGGTTTTATACCTTCAAATGTTTTCTATTTGCATGTTAGTGTTCTTTTTTTTTTTTTTTTCAAATTGAAGAACTTCCTTTAGTATTTCTTGTAAAATGGGTCTGGTGATGGTAAATTCTCTCAGCTTTTGTTTGTCTGGGAAAGCCTTTATTTTTCCTTCATAGGTGAAGGGCAACTTTGCGGGATACAGTATTCTTGGATGGAAATTTTTTTTCTTTTAGCACTTTGAAAATTTTGTTCCACTCCTTTCTGGCCTGTTTGGTTTCCATTGATAAGTCTGTTGCCAGATGAATTGGAGATTCTTTATACGTTACTTGCTTCTTTTCTTTTGCTGCTTTTAGGATCCTCTTTGTCCTTGATCTTTGAGAATGTGACTATTACATGCCTTGGGGAAGTCTTATTTGGGTCAGATCTGTTTGTTGTTCTCTGACATTCCTGTACCTGGATGTTTCTTTCTTTCTCAAGTTTTGGAAAGTTTTCTGTTATTTTTTGAATAAGCTTTCTACTCCTTGCTCTTGTTTAACTCCCTCTTGAACACCAGTGATTCTTAGACTTTGTCTTTTGAGGCAATTTTCTTTATCTTGTTGACAGTCTTTGTTCCTTTTTATTCTTTCTTCTTCTCTGTGTATTTTCAAATTGCCTGTTTTTGAGCTCATTTATTCTTACTTTTGCTTGATTCGTTCTCCTACTGACAGCCTCTAATGAGTTTTTCAGTTCCTCAAATATATTTCTCAGTTTGAAGATTTCTGTTTGTTTTTATTATTATTTCAGTCTCTTCATGAAATTTCTCTGATAAATTCTTGAGTTGGTTTTTTGTGTTATTTTGAAAATCACTGAGTTTCCTTAAAACTGCTATTTTGAATTCTTGTTCAGAGAGCTCACATATCACCATCTTGTTAGGGTTAGTCACTGGTTCCTTGCTTCATTTGTTTGGGGAAGTCATGGTTCCCTGTTTGCTGCTGTCACGTATGAATGTATGTCTATGTGTTTGCACTGGAGAATTAGTTATTTTAGTCTTCTCTGTCTGGCTTCTTTTGTTTTTTATTGGATATATTTGCTTAGAGATTCGTTGTAATTTACCTGTTGAATTTCTTTCTTTTCCCATTAGGTCACTGCCTCCTTTTCAGCATTAGATAGTGCCTTAAGCCCAGGTTTGTCTCTGCTCTAATAAAGAATTGGAGCACTGCCCATCCCAAAAGAGGATAGTGCCAAAGGGGATGTCCTAGCACTGTGGGGAGGTTAAGTAGGGATTTGTGCTCAGGGGACCTGTGGGATGAACCTCCTACAGCATGGTGTTGCTAAACAGACACTCCGATTTGGTATCTACTTTGGCCAACTTATCGAGTCAAGTTTCCAGAGTTGGGGATGGTAGTCCTGCCTCCCCACTTTGTCTCTGGCTGTCCCCAGGGATATTTTTTCCTTCAGGCATTCCTCATGCTTCCTGTGAGTTGAGGTAGGAGCAGGTATCCTGCCAGGGAACTCAAAATGATGGGGAAGCTGCTTATCACCTTGATTTTCCTTTTTTCCAGTGTTAAACTGAGAGTCAGGGGGAGATTTTCCATGTGCTTGGTGCCGGCAGATTGGGGAGAGGGGCGTCTTGGCTATGGATGTCCCATTCTCTTACCATTTGCTTGGAGCTTTTTTACTTCTCTGTGGCACTGAGAACTGTCTCATCCTCATATTTTCGTTCTGGGATATTTGTGGTGATAATCTAAGTGCTGTAAATTTGGTTTTTGTTTTCTGTGCGGGGAATGAAGCCAGCCAGCTTGCTTCCAAGCCACCATTTTGGAACCAGAAACCTCACTGTATTATACCTTACAGTGCTCTGCTGAATTAAATTCAAATAGGAAATATGAACAAATTTACCTCCTCAGCAACTATCCTAAATCCCTGCTACTCAAAGTGTGGTCATTGTACCAGCAACATTGAACTCACTTGGGAACTTTTTAAAGATGTGGAATCTCAGGCCCACCCCAGACCTACTGAATTAGAATCTGCATTTTAACAAGCTGCCCTGGAGACTGGTATGTACCTTCATATTCAAGAAGCACTGTCCTGCAATATTCTGGTAGACTTATTTTGACAGGTGCAGCCTTCAGCTGTTCGTAGTGTTATATCTTTAATTCTGTAACCCGACCCCTAATGGCTGTCTATTTTGGCAATTATTTTAATGCCACACAATAACCTTTTCTTGGTTGAATGTTAGTTTCTCTGAATTATTGACCATGCTGACTCTATCTCAGGATGCAAGCATTTGGGCTCATTTTTCAAGTTCTGGTAGAGTCAAAGTTAGTATGCATTTCCCTCTCCACTTCCACCCTCTTATATTTCATTTCTTGCCACAAGCAGGATGCCTTTTCTCCTCAACTCTCCATCTTCATGCTTCTCAGGGATATGTAGGTCCCTAAGCACAGTCAGCATTTTGTTCAGGTGGAAAATGTTCATATATCGTTGGGGTCATGTGCCAACTGTGTGCATGTGTATCTGGTTTATACAGATGGAATCTCAGGTTCAAATGTTATAATCAAGCCATCTTGCAAGATAGTTTCTACACTCTTATTTCACAGTATGTGAACTTTCTTTTTGTTTTTCGCTGACAAATGTTGATTGTGTTATTTCAGTGGTCGGGATTGCTGTAGAGGTATGCGAGATATTCCGTTTGATTTTGTCCTCTAAGCCATAGGTAAGAATTAACTTTGTATTGTGAGCCATCACATACATGAGTTTGGTGTATTTTCCCTACCTTTTAATGAGCTTAATGTCAGCTAGTTGATTCTGTCTGGCAAAATTTCACAGTGCCATCCTGTTACGCCACAGGGCCACGTAAACAAGGAGGAGATCCATGTCAGCAAATTTCTAGCTAGTTCAGGGATAGTCTTTCAAGTTTCATATTGTTTAAGTTTTGAGTCTTTAAAAAGTGGTCTTCATATAACATCACATACGTCTTTAGCACCTTAGGTAGAAGGTGCTAAAAATGATTTTGTCTTTAAGGATAACTCTGATCACTGTGTTGTGAAATGCGAGGCCATTGTACCATGGGACATGATTTTCTCTGAGGCAGTGGCAGATGGGACTATTGGCAGTGGGACTATTTCTTGTTCCATCAAATGACCTCCGGCTGCTATATTTTTGAATAGTCTGCTTTGGTATTACTCTGCTGTTCCAGGCTTGGTTGCTGTCCAGTCTCACAGTAGTGTACCTTGCCTGTGGTGTATTCTGTCTCCTGAGCCCTTTGCCCTTCTATTGTGGTGCTTCTAATTTGTTGTAAATTAAAAACCTGCTAGATAATTTTGCTAGAATATATTATAATTAAGAATAGGCTCAGAGTGATGTCTTCAGAGGGTGAGCTAGGAATCATATAGGTACTTCTATGGTGCAAACTTGAATAAAACCTGTGAGCAGCCACAGCTGGTTTGGTTCGTTTTGCCTTTGGGTTATTTCACTGTTCACTCACTATCTGCTATGTGCTAGGAACATATGGAATTGAAGTAAACATTCTTGTTGTTCCCATAATCTGTTCTGGGGATAGATAAAATGCAAAGCAGAGCATTACACCTATATGATATAGGTGTAAACACTGTACTGTGGACTTGCATGAAGAAGAGTCATTATAAATTTGACCAGACTTACTAGAAGATGTAAGATTGGGTGGGAGGAAGGACACTTTAGTCATGGAGAGACAGGTGGGGTGTAAGGGACAGGATATCCTAGGCGGAAGCAAAAGTGTGAGCAAAGGTGGTCAAATAAAGGGTGCGTGGAAGGAATGGAATTTATTTGGGTGTGATTGAAGCATGAAACGTCTGTGGTGGGTACCCAGAGGGAACATCGAATTATTATTCACACGCCTGCTGTTCATAGCATGTAGCTCCTAGAAGGTGGGTAGATGTCTCTGCTTATATTGTGTGAAAATTAAAGAAGCACATGTATGTCTTCCAGCATGGAAAAAAAAAGACCTTCATTGGAAGAATTTCTCATCGGGGCGCCATGTTACAAACGAAAGCTCTTTAGGAGAAGATGCACAGCTATTTCCTTGTTCTGAGTTTTGATACTTTTTTTTTTTAAACAATTTGTAAAGCTTTCGAAACTTCTTGTCTTGTTCTTGTGTTTTAGAGTTTACATCTATAACTGATAGTATTATTTTTCTTTGCACTTACAGTACGGCCAAGTACAGCGTGTTGACATTTCTACCTCGATTCTTGTACGAGCAGATTAGAAGAGCTGCTAATGCCTTCTTTCTCTTCATTGCCTTATTACAGGTAATGGTTTTTTAACAGTTCCTTGGAATTCGCAACCTTAATTACATGTAAAATGAGATTTTGCTAAAAGGTTCCTTAACTGCTAAAGTGTTATCATCTTGGAATATAGTTTGTTTCCCTCCTCCGGTCATTGTTCAATAGAGTGAACAAGCCTGACTTTGTATACAGGGAGATTTCTTTCGGTATGGCCTTAAGGATGATTGCAGTGACTGAAAGAGGCATTGAAAAGTGGCCTTAGGGCCATACTTTTAAGCCTTTTTCTGTTCCAAACACATAACCAATGTTGGATAAAATTTAAAAAAATATGTAAAATACATAGCTGGTTTTTAAAGTAAGGTGATTATTTTTGAGTAACAGAAATGGAACAGAACTGCAAAAGTGTGAACCGTGCGTGACTGCCATAATTTTCTTCTCATGGAGAGGATTTTTATGTGCCAACTTCCTACTTGTGGTCTCTTATCTTCCAGCAAATTCCAGATGTATCTCCAACAGGAAGATATACCACCCTGGTGCCATTGATCATTATTTTAACAATTGCAGGCATCAAAGAGATTGTAGAAGATTTTGTAAGTTTTTGCTTTTGAATAATAAAATCATTGTATGCAGTAGATCATAACTTACGTGTTGCCTCGGGTGATATATTTAAGGCAGAAAATTGGGCTATAGCTTAACCAGCCTTTTTAGATGCCTGATGATATTTTTTGGGGGAGGGAATGTATACTCAGAGTGTCCTAAATACCTGTACAGTGACACTAAACAGTTCAAACTTTGTTTTCAAATATTAGGTCTCTGGAGCCCCGTTGATTTTTATCACTGATGTTCCTTATAGCCTGCTTTAGAGCTTGCTAATTTGGGCAGCAAATGAAGGATTGCTGTGCTGTCTAGGATGGCAGCGTTGTCTCGCTCTGCCTGAGGCAACTGTACAAGAATCTTCTCCCCTCACAATCATCCTAGTGTAGCTCCAAGTTCATTGGCTACAACAACTATATTCCTTTTCTCTCTCTTCCTTACTCTGTCTTCCCCTATATATTTGTGTGTGTGTGTGTACGTATATATATATACGTACACACACACAAAAAACGTGTATATATATATTTGTGCGTGCTGTCTCTCTGTCTCTGGATCTTCCTCTCCCCCCTTACACACACATACACACATCTTGCTTTCACAAACATATATGCATCTTTCTGGGAATAGGTATGTAAATAAATAGGTATGTAAATGAATATTTAAAAAAATAGATATGTAAATAAATATAACACAGGTTAAGCATCCCTAAATCCAAAAACCCCACATCTGAAATGCTTCAAAATCCAAAACTTTTTGCGTGCCGACATGATGCCACAAGTGGAAAACTCCACACCTGACCTCATGTGATGGCTGCACAAAATTATTATAAACACTGTATGAAGGCTATGTGTATAAAGTGAATATGAAACATAAATCAATTTCATGTTTAGACTTGGGTCCCATCCCGGAGATACCTCATTGGGTATATGCAAATACTCCAAGATCTGAAACAATCTGAAATATGAAACACTTCGGGTCCCGAGCATGTCAGATAAGGGATCCGCAACCTGTACACATTGAAGCAACGTTACTTTATCAATAAAATGAAGTTGGCTGTTTGTTGCTGGGTTTATCATACTGAATAATCATTGCAGTCTGATCTAAAGCAAGGAGTGAAAAGTTTTGTACTTCCAAGTGCTAGAACCACAATAAAATAATTGAAACTAAAGAGACCACTTCTAAACTTAGGGAGTGCTGATAGATCACAAAATTGTTGAATTGAATTTTATAGCATGAGCATTGTTGGCAGTTAGTTTCCTTGTCCCCTGTAATTTCCTGATTGTTTTGTTTGCTATTTCAATTATTCATGTGGAACTTTTGTTAGAACTATTTTTTCTCTTTCTGTAACAGAAGCGACACAAGGCAGACAATGCAGTTAACAAAAAGAAAACCATAGGTAAGATCCCAGGCTGAGTCACTTTTTCCACTAGAAAACTTAAGAATAAGGCCTGCATTTAAGGAATTTTAAATAAGTGCTGAGTGGTATTGAGATAAATTGGGAAGATGATCTATAAAATACTTTCAAGAAATAGTAAAAAACAAATTGAACATGATTTTAGTACTAATAATTAAGATTTGAACAGCATTTGTGTATTTTAGAATGTTAGAAAAGGTTGTAATTTTCAGGAACTAGACAGTTTTTATGTCCATAAAAAGTCTAAGCATTCACGTCCTTCATTTATAATCTCTCCTTACTTCCATCTTCTACTTCTTATTGTTTTATTTCTACAACATCAATTTTTGGTTTGTTTGTTTAATTTTTTGAGACAGGGTCTCACTCCTGTTCCCCCGGCTGGAGTGCAGTGGCGTGATCATGGTACCCTGTAGCTTTGACCTCCCAGGCTCAGGGGATCCTGCCACCTCGGCCTTCTGAGTAGCTGGGACTACAGGCATGCACCACCACCCCTGACTAATTTTTGTGTATTTTTGGTAGAGATGAGTTTCACCATGTTGCCCAGGCTAGTCTCAAACATCTCAGCTCAAACCTATCTGCCTGCCTTGTCTTCCCAAAGTGTTAGGATTACAGGTATGAGCCACCGTGCCCAGCTGTTTAGTTTTTTTTTAAATTGTGGAACAGCAGGCCTTTTTTTTTTTTTCTTCTGGGCTGAAAATAAGTAGATTTAACTTACATACATAAACATTGATGTGTATGCATTAATGTACATATGTTACAGAGGTACATACACTGGTGTTCCATTTTGAGTGGGGGTGCTGATGTTATGCCGTCATGGCTAAAGATAGGGTATGTTAGAATTAATAAATGGAATTCTAAAAGAAGGCTTTTGGATTTTAGGAAACTGATTCGATTTATTACCAGTATTAACCAATATTTTATTTTTCTCTTTTTCAGTGTTAAGAAATGGTGTGTGGCATACCATTGTGTGGAAAGAGGTAAAAACGAATTTTAAAGACGTACCAGTACTATTGGTTTGAAGACGTGTAATGAATGGCTGGTCTTGACTGCAGTATGAAGTTTGTGTTAAGAGATGGTAGAGTTTTCCGTGAGGTCTGCTGAGACCTGAGGCGTGTTTACTCTGTCCCCTGCCCCTTCTAGTAAGGGCCCAGTGTGTCACTTCAAGCTATGAACTTGATTGCTCCTGATTGACATTTCTGAAAGCTCAAAGTACTTTCTAGTTTCTAAATCCAATTTGAGAAACATTTTCCCTCGTCCTCTGTTGTCTTAATCTAAGTTAAAGTTTATTTTTGTTTTTAGCATTTGTGATTCTCACTTCTAACATTTTTGGGTGGAAAGGTCATTAACTACAGAATGGTGGAATGGGGGTAAGAAACCACCCCGTTTCCGTTCTAGCACAGCGGTTAGCTGCTCTTAATAATAGCAAGGAAAGCTTTGCCTCCACGTCCCCGGACGTGTGAGGTTTAGAGGGTTGAAGAATGGTGTGGTTTTTTGGTTGTTTGTGGTGATGAGTAGAAAATTTAGAAGAAATCTGCCATACCATCTGGGTATTTTATATCTGATAAAATGAGCATTTTAGCTGGACCTTCTTAATGGACACAGGACGTGTTGGGGGATGACTCTCATAGCCGATTAACATGATTTCAAAAGAAAACAACGTTTTAGCAGGGTAACTTGAAATAGTGTTTCTTGCTAAACATTTAGTAAACAATGTTTTAAAATGACTCTTATAGTCTTTTATATCTGAAAAATGCCCGTGATATGATAACTGCAGCATTTGCTTTAGTTTTTGTTTTACTTTACTTTGTTTTGGGAGAATTCCCCCACTCTTTAAAGAAATTTCTCCTTTGTAAAAGTGTTTTGCAGTAACACCTTCACCTTTGCAGCAGTCTTGAAGTCCTGTGTTGCAAATGTTCATCAGCCTCACGTTTGGAAAGGTCGTGGTTCTTCGTCAGGAGGTTGGGAATTCTTGACACACAGTGGGAGAAACGCTCCCAATGCTGAAGGAATTCAGGGGTTCTCCCAGCACTGGGAAATTGCCCCTCTTTTTCTCGAGGGTCCTTCTTGTGACTCCCTCCCCAGAAAGGTATCAGTATCAGCTAGAGTGAAGAATGATTTGGATTCTGAGGGCCTGACATTACTTGAAACAGCAGAAAATGGAGTGATGGTCTCTGATTGATGGTCCAGGAGCTAACGGCTTTGCAGACTCCTGAAACTCATGACTGTTTCCAATGTTCATTTGGGAGAAAAACAACAATCACAAAGAAACGCCGGTTCTATATTGTACCACATGCATTTTTATTTCCATTTAAAATGTATATACTTGTTTTATTTCAGTGGAGCTCCTGGCATGTGTTAGAGATTGTACTAGGCATGGGAAGAATGAAACACAGCACTTCCCTTAAGGAGTTTCAAACGTCAGTGGGCTTCCCAGTCACCGTCCGCAGGGCTGCTAGAACCCAGATGGCTGGGCCCCATTCCCGGGGTATCTGATTCAATGGGTCTCGGGTGGGGCCCTAGAATTTGCACGTTTAAACAAATTATTAGTTGAGGCTGAAGCCGATGGTGTAGGAGCACACTCAAGAACCATCGGTGTCCTGGGAGAGAGAGGGAACTAACCTGACGCAGGGCACTTGTTGAGCTCTGTGTACGAGAAAGCGTCCACCTTGGGAACAGCTGGGAGGGGCCACCTATCTAGATGCAGTGGTTCAGATCAGGAAAGTCTGCCCTCCAGAGACGCTCTAGTGCCTCTTGAAGGGTGAATCGGGGGTAACTAGCTGCGGAACTGTGAGTAGTTCAGTGTGAGGATGAGAATACAGGAGAGGGCAGAGATGTCAGGCAAGGGGGAGCTGGCTGTCCTTAAGGTCCCCCAAATGACGGTAATCTAATCTGAAGTGCTGAAGCTCAGGTCTGCCATCCCCTGGGCTGTAGCTGAGTCAATGGTGAGCACTGAGAGGCAGCTCTCATGTGGCTCTCAGTGACTTTGATTGACTTCGAGAGGATCTTTCAGCTACTTCCTCAAAATTAAGAGACTTGAGGAACTCTCTGAGGCTAGAGTGGATTCAGGGATCTGGAGGGTTTCTGTTCCCACTGTACTAATTCTTTGAGGGAGTGTTGCACACACAAGGAACAATCACTTAAGCACATTAAATAGAAAACCGTTTCCAGGCTGGTCACGCTCACGCCTGCAATCCCAGCACTTTGGGAGGCTGAGGCAGGTGGATCACTCGAGCTCAGGAGCTCAAGACCAGCCTGGCCAAACATGGCCAAACCCCATCTCTACAAAAAAATACAAAAATCAGTCAGGCATGGTGGTGTGTGCCTATAATTCCAGCTACTCAGGAGGCTGAGGTGGGAGGATCACTTGAGCGCGGGAGGCGGAGATTGCAGTCAGCCTTGATCGCGCCACTGCACTCCAGCCCGGGTGACAGAGTGAGACCCTGTCTCAAAAACAGAAAACAAACAACCAAAAAAATTTTTTTTCAAGCAAAATCCAAGTAAGTCGTTTCTCATGTACATAAAACTTCTCAGTACTTGGTTACTGGCATATGAATGTTGCTTTATTTAGAGAGTAAAGATGAGAGAAAGCCATAATTTCTCTTGTCCTCCCACTTGGAATTTTAAAAAATCCACTGCCTTATTTCTTTGGAAAACATGACAAATTTTCCTTTCTAGTGTTTTTTTTCTTTACTAATTACTTCTTCTGATTTTTATATGTAATTAGGCTATTCATATGAAATATTTTTACTTTTATTTGTTTTTAGACAGAGTCTCGCTCTGTTGCTCAGGCTGGAGTGCAGTGCTGCTGTCTTGGCTCACTGCAACTTCTGCCTCCTGGGTTCAAGCAATTCTCCTGCCTCAGCCTCCCGAGTAGCTGGGACTACAGGTGTCCACCACCACGCCTGGCTATTTTTTTTTTTTTTTGTGGTGAGATGAGGGTTTCACCATGTTGGCCAGGCTGGTCTTGAACTCCTGACCTCAAGTGATCTACCTGCTTCGGCCTCCCAAAGTGTTGGGATTATAGGTGTGAGCCACTGCACCTGGCCCAAATAGTTTTACTTTAAAAAAACACTTTCAATTCACATAACATCCCTTGCTTTTGTACTGGTGATTGTTAAAATAGCTTTGTGGCATTTTCCCCAGACACTTCAATAAACAACTTAAAGCACCAATAGGATACGTTTCGGTAAATTTGCCTTTTTCCCAGCGGAAAATTAAACATGGGCACCTGCTAGCTTCTAAGATCTGGTAGTTTTTCACAAGTATCATATCACTTGAAATTCCTGGTTTCTAAGAGAATAGTAACATGGCTGGAATAGGAAATTGAAAGCGTAAGTGCAGATTTTGAGCTTTACAATTATTACTGTACTCGGAATGGTCTTCTAGTATCATCAGAGAATTCTAATGTCCTTGACCTTCACACTCATGATGTCCTTTCAGTTGTGCTCCCGCTGATGGAGACTGACATTTATATGGACCTGCTTTATGCTAGGTGCTGTGTATACTTCCTTAGTCACTGCATTCACCTTACAAGGCCGGTGGCGCTGTTTTCCTGTTTCAGACGTGAGGTGCTGGGGCGCTGAGAGGCGAAGCAGCTTGCCGAGATCGCAAAGCCAGCACACGGTTATAAAGCTAGGATTGGAGTTAGGTTTGCCTGATTTGAAAGCCCCGGTTCTCTCCACCCTGGTGCTTTCTGCGATGTTACTGAAAGGATTTGTAGACACGTGGCCGTGGTGCCATTTTGGAGACCACAGCCCTCTTCCTTGGCTTGGGATCTTCTGTCTGGTGGAATCTGTTCCCCAAGGTGGTCTCTGACTTTGGCCGTGATCCTCTTTCTGGGAATTTCTTGAGGCTGTACAAATCTTCTCCATTTTACGTGGTATATTTCCAGGGGGCCTTTTAGGTGCACTTTTCATGGGTGAATTTCCTGTTGCCTTTTAATCAGAGCATTGGTCTTCTGTGCAGCTTGCCAGTTTTGAATCCCGGTTCTAACGCTCAGTAGCTGTATTACTGTGATCAAGTTATTTTGTTTTCTGCATCTCAATTTGTAAAACAGAGAAAAATTTATGTGTGTTAACTTAGTTGATCCTTACAGTCACTCTATGAAATATGTGCCTTTATCTTCATTATAAAAATGAGGAAACTGAGGCACACAGAGTTTACGTAACTTGCTCATCGTTACACAGCTCATCGGGGGGCAAGTGGGGATCGAGCCCAGGCATTAGGCGGGCTCTGGCAGGGTGTGGGTGACCATTCTACCCTACTGTGTACAGCTATGGAAATGCTCAAGTATTTGTAAATGGATGGATAATTGGAAGAAAACGAGATCTTTATAGCTGTTCTGACTCCCTCTCCCTTTCCTTTTTTATTAAACATCATTGCAAAAAAGGCAGCATTACCAGTGTCTGCATGGAAGCACTTTCCTTTTGTTCTTGTCAAGGAAAATAATTTGGGCTTCTGCATCTTAAACTTCATGGCTTAGTTATATAATAATTTTTTTTTCTTCAAATATTTAAGCACCTTTTTCACCATGTGTGTTTTGTTTCTTTTCTTTCATGCCTCTTTGTCCTTGTCCCTGGCTTTCTAGGTGGCAGTGGGAGACATTGTGAAGGTCGTCAATGGGCAGTATCTTCCAGCAGATGTGGTCCTGCTGTCCTCCAGGTTAGCTGTGCTAGCGGGCACCTTTTTTTTTTTTTTGCAATAAATGTTAAGAACCATAAAATATTAAGCAGTGACTGGAGCAATCTGGAGCTACCTGTTTCCTTCTACCATCCTCTCTCTGTCCCATTCTTCCATTTCTTGTCATTTGCCTTCTCCTGCCATGACCCTTGGTTTCTTTCTCCCATTCATTCCTTTGTGCTTTTTCTGAACTCTTTTGTGTGTATTGTCTCCACTTAGTCTCCTGGCTACTTGGTGGGTATTTCTTATTTATAGGGATACTGAGTCTAGAGCAGTGGAGGGGTCTCAGGTTGCAGCATATCCGAGATTTCAGAATCTGTTTCCTGATGGGCCCTGCCAGCAGTCTCTCCTGCGGAACCCAGTGCTGCACTTTAATAGCTGTTCAAGAACCACGGGTGCTTTCTCAGTGTAATCGTGACCAGCAGATGGTGTTTGCTCTTCATCCGTCCATGTTTTGCCCCTTTTCTGTCCTAGTATCATTTTCACTTTCTCTAGGTAGTTTTATTCTAGGAAGGAATCATCACTCAGTGCAATTCTTGACTTTTTTTGGGCTTGATGCGTGAAAGTTTATAGCCAGGAAAGAAAGCCAAAATTAGGACGAGAATTGACATCTATTCTTGAATTCAAGATTAAATTGTGTGACGTTAGGACTATAACTTCCTATATTTATACACTGTTGGGAATCATAGATACGCAGGCCGTTTGCATTTTCTTTGATTGCAGATGGCATTTGTTGTATTGAAGTTAATCACTCATTGGATTTTAAGCCTAAGCATTAATTTTCTGCTTGAGATAATAGATTTAAAAATAGGACCCCAGGCCTGTGGAGGGGGAAAAAGAACCAGTAACACAGGGCAGGATTTGTATTTGTCCGTATTCATTGACAACAAAGAATCTCTTAGAAATATTAAAATATTCATCACTTGATAGTTCGGACTTTAAGTCTTGGCTGTGACCCTAGAAAATTTTGTGTGTGTGTGTGTGTGTGTGTGTGTGTGTGTGTTTTGTTTTGGAGACAAGGTCTTACTCCATCACCCAGGCTGAAGTGCAGTGGCTCAATCATAACTCACTATAAGTTCAAACTCCTGGGCTCAAGGAATCCTCCCATCTCAGCTTCCTGAGTAGCTGGGACTACAGGTGCATGCCACCACACCTGGCTAATTTAAAAAATTTTTTTGTAGATGTTGACCAAGCTGATTCTGGAACTCCTGGCCTCAAGCCATCCTCCCGCCTTGGCCTCTCAAAGTGCTGGGATTACAAGCGTGAGCCACAGTGCCCAGCTAGTTTTTCTTTTTTTTTTTTAACTTGGTCTTAATACGGGATTGCTTGAGCTGACATCATGTTTCCAGCATGCTCACTATTAGTGTCTGAGTGTGTGCTGTGTGTGTGCCGAACAGCCTGTTGAGGAGGTTGTCCCACTTAATCTTCCCAATAACCCTGGATAGACTTCCTTTGTACATGACAAGATTGAGATACAGAGAGACTAAACAATTTGCTGAGGCCTTAGAGCCCATAAAGGTAGTGCTAGGGGATTTTACTTTAACTAGGGTTTTTTTTTTTTTTTTTTTTTTTTTTAGTTTTTGAGGCAGGGGGTGGTTAATCACTATGTCAATGTAGCTAAACTCAAAGATTAGAAATAGAAGTGTAATATCTGTTATGCTTATTTTTATTCTTTGAGTTTTCTGTCTTTAATGCTAGGTGTTTTGATTAAAAAGTTGGCCTTAAGATTGTAAAAATGGCATAGAAGCAAAGCCTTGCCAAGCCTATGCCTTGATCCTTCAACTCCCCTGGCTGTTGTTTTCTTCAAAAAATGTGTGTTTCTACTGGCCGTGCCTTGGGCAGCCTTTTCGGTCAGGCCCAGCCCCAGACTTGAAGGATTGCCTGAACCCAGTGGTTGGGTCTGAGTGGGGACATCACGTGTTTTCCCTTCTCTTTCATCTTCAGTTCTTTCCTGTCTTGAGGCTCAGCAGTCACTATGTGGGGCTCACAAGGGGAGATCATCTGGGCAAATGACTCTGTACTCGTGCTGAGTCCCAAAGACGAATGTGTGTTTCCTTTTTCATCCATTACTCCTACTATAGTGGTTATTTATAACAATTTATTTTGAAGGGCCAATCAGCAGACATAGATTCCATAATGGAGATTTTCTAAGCTGTGAATCTGTGGAAAGGACCTTATGAAACTTGGCTCTTTTTTTCTCTCTCCTTAGTGAACCTCAGGCAATGTGTTATGTTGAAACAGCTAATCTGGATGGGGAGACGAACCTTAAAATACGTCAGGTAAAGTCACCTCTGATGACTTGTGTTGTTATGGTAGACACAACTGCAAATGTGGTCCCCACACATGTTTTTCTAGAGAAATAAAATGTTCAGCCACTAAGGGTTATGCCTTAGCCTTAATGGAATCTATGGGAAGAATATGCCATTTATGATGAGAGAGAATATGTAGAGAGCTGGAAAAAGCAGGCTGCATCAAACTGTAGGTCACGAAGGGTGTCAGGCCTTCATGTAGCGTCTTATTGAGCTCTCTGCCTGTGATGCTGGAGAGAGGGGACATCTCAGCGAAGCTGAGTGGCTGGGAAGGGCACAGCTTAGTGGACAAATGGAGCAGAAAAGCTCCACGTACCCCAGTTTACATCATTGTTTAATAAAGATTCTAATCCTAGAGGGTGATATAATTAGATACAAAACTTCCGTGCCTTAAAGAAAACTATTCTTACCGTATATTTTAATTCTAGAATTCCAAATAGTCTTTTTCTGGTTCTTTTTTTTGTTTTGAGATGGAGCCTCGTTCTGTTACCCAGGCTGGAGTGCAGTGATGCGACCTTGGCTCACTACAGCCTCTGCTCCCCGGGTTCAAGTGATTCTCCCACCTCAGCCTCCTGAGTAGTTGGGACTACAGATTCATGCTACTACACCTGGCTTAATTTTTATATATTTTTTAGTAGAGACGGAGTTTCACCATGTTGGCCAGGCTGGTCTCAAACTCCTGAACTCAAGCGATCCACCTGCTTTGGCTTCCCAAAGTGCTGGGATTACGGGCGTGAGCCACTGCACCCGGCCAAGAATGAAGAATGGTCTTTAACATAAGAAAATTTTAAGCATTTTGACACTTAAAAAATGTTTGCTGCTTAAAGTTGAATTCAGCAATTCTGTCCATGTATCTTTCTTTTCTACTTAGATATTTGCTTTAGACTTTTTTTTTTTTCCATTTAAAGAAGAGTTACAGCCTGGGCAACATAGCAAGGCCCTCTCTCTACAAAAAACTTTAAAAATAGCTGGGCATGATGGCACGTACCTGTAGTCCCAGCTACTTAGGAGGCTGAGGTGGGAGGATCGCTTGAGCCCAGGATTTTGAGGCTGTATTGAACAATGATCGCATCACTGCACTCCAGCCTGGGGGACAGAGTGAGACCCTGTCTCTTAAAGAAAAAGAGAAGAGTGCTAGATAGTGTAAACTATTGAAGGGCTACTCTGTTCTATCTTTATGACCAGTGTTAGCATACAGTTAGTAGATTATGCTTGCTGTGAGGTGCTGGGGTATGTTAATTCTTACTTGTGCACGGATGTCTCCAGCATAGTGGTAGAATCTTAACTTTCAGCTTCATGACATTCTTTTGCCACTTTTGCATTAGATCACTGTGGCAAAAGCTACTGGAAAAGTCTGCCTTGAGGGGCTGTCAGTTTGACTTGTTAGCCCCCCAAATTATTGCACTGGAGATGCCTTATTTTTCCTTTTGATTAACCATAGGGATGCTGAATGGTGTCCCTAAGCACAGAAGATTGTGTTTGACTTCCTCCTTTGGTTTAATCTTTTAGGGTTTGAGTCACACTGCTGACATGCAAACACGTGAAGTTCTGATGAAGTTATCTGGAACTATAGAGTGTGAAGGGCCCAATCGCCACCTCTATGACTTCACTGGAAACTTGAACTTAGATGGGAAAAGGTATTACGTGTCTTTTCTTCATTGTCTTTTAAACTATGTGACTAAGAATTACTGGAGCTTTGGAAAATGTGTTTGTTTCCTAGTTTTGTAATATTTTAAGACAGTGAGATTTCATACCCTTTCCATTAATTTGAAGGCTTCCTTAAATTTAAGAAAAAAACCCTGAGCCCAAGGGCCTCGGATGAGGCTCAAAGCATGTGGCATATTCTTTCTGTGCCTGTTCTCTACCAGGCAGGAGAAATGGTTTTAGCTGCATAAAATTGTCCAGAAAAGCAGAGGAGAGTTATCTGAGGTGTATACAAGCTAATACACTTGTTACAGAAATGTGTGTGTGTGTGTGTATGTGTGTGTGTGTGTGTGTGTTTGCTAACCTTCTTCTAAGGAGCGTTTGTTTGTTTTTAGAAAGTTGATTATTCTTCCTTTAGAATATTCAGTGCCCTCCTGTCTATATTCTGTTATCTTTGTCCTTCTGGCATTTGTTATGTTGTTCTGGAGTTGTCTTTTGTTCTGATGTTGGGGAGCAGTTTCTACCTTCTGGCCGTCTTTTGTCTTGTGCCTCTGGCCAATGCACCCCCGCTAACCCTGTAACCCAGCCTCTTGGAGTGTCCTTTATATTTTGACGACCCAAGGCTTGGAAGGACCTGATCATGGGAATCAACCCAAATGATTATAAATATGACAGCTAAGTGTGGCTGCTTCTTGGTTTCGTGTAGCATACAGAGCTATTCTACGGGTTCCCCATTTTGAATTTCTCAGTTATCACTCAGGTCTTTATTTACTCATTAAGTCATCCTTTAAAACATTGATATGATAGGTTGCTGCTTTTTAAGATTTTACTCCCTTCTAATAGTCTGTAAAATACACTAGATTTATTTTACAAATAACAACAATAATCATACTTCCAATAAGAATACTTACTACAAATGAGTCAGCTTCAGTTGTTATTTTAGCAACTTCCTTTCTGGGTGTTGAGTTTCATAACAGGATCATGAGAGACATAATTCCCTGTAATGTTTTATAGAAAAAACATTTTTGTTCCTGTAGTGATGAATGTAAAATAAAACTTTCTATGGGTCCTTTTGGGGTAGATTAAGCCAGTGATAACCTTTGTTGCCTGTGTTTCTCAGTGAAGTAGTTCAAATTGGAGCAAAGGGAACATTTGATTTATTGTGGGTTCATGTTTAAGGGAAAAACTCATGCTCATTTTCCAGACTATCATTAAATATCATTTTTTTTTTTTTTTTAAATTTTTTAGCCTTGTTGCCCTGGGGCCTGACCAGATCTTATTAAGAGGTACGCAGCTTAGAAATACTCAGTGGGTCTTTGGCATAGTTGTTTATACTGGACACGACACCAAACTCATGCAGGTAAAACAGTTCTCTGCTGATTTCAGTCTTTTTTTTCTTTCTTTCTGCTTTTATTGACTAGAAGGTGGAAAATGCAGATGTTGCATTTAGGAAGTTCGAGTTTGTCTATGAACCTAAATTTGGAAAGGAACTGCTTTTATTTTATTTAGTTCCTTACGTAGCTTCTTCTAGATTTCTGTTCTCTTATCTGATATTTGTTACCTTATGCCTGAAATTCAAATGGTCTTTGTTTTCTGGATTAGGGGAACAATCAATTCTAACTTATTTTATCTTCTGGACTTAAGTGGGGATTAGTTCTAACTTTTAAATTTCTCTTTCTAATTCTCTTCTTTATCCCATTAATTAGGATTTTATAGCAAATTGTCTAATTTAACTGAAGTTTAGATACTTTAAAATCAGTTATTTTTGAACTGTTTATTTTTCATATACCCAAGAAAAAAATGAAGTTAAAATGATTTTGCTCTTTTTCCCTGTTAATGTTTTTTAAAAAATTGTTTGTGAATTTATAGGTCACGTTAATATTATGACGTATTTTGCCAGACAGCTTTTGAAATTCTACATAAATCAGTGTCCCTATATGTCGTTTCTTACATTTCTTTGGTATCACTTGGCATCTTATTTTTGCTAATGGTGGCTATTAATGAGAATTGGCTTTTCAGCTTGTCTGTTCTTTTGTATAACTTCTACAATACACATTTGGCTATATTTCTTGATTTAAAAATATTTGGTGACCACATACCAAGTCCAATGCTAGACCATACAGGTGCTTACCCTCGGGGAGCCAGTCAGGCTAAGGAGTAATATAGAATGACAAAGTAGAGAGAGAAATACTGGAATGTGTGTCATTACTAAGGGCTGTCAGTATGTATAGGAGGTCATTCAACCTAGGTTGGAAGCCAGTTGACTGCATGCTAAGAATAATTCCCCTGGCAGAAGCACATTTTAGATATGGAGCTAGGGAAGGGAGACTGTTGTGTTGATCTCCTCTTTGAGGTCAAATGATAATCGGATGAAAGAGGTAAGTATTAGAGGAGATGAAGCGGTAGACCCTGGTAGCCACCCCAGCTAGTAAACACATTGAAGACAGGGAGGAGAGATGGGATTAGAAGGGTTGAGAGACTCCCTGAAGTTGAAGAGGGTTGTTGGAGTTGCCGAGTGACAGGCTGATCAGTGGGTAGAATCTTGCCTTTGTATTTCGGGGGTAGAGAGTTTCTAGCATGGGAGACCTGGGAGTGACCCGTGGGAGTAGGAAGTCAAAGGCAGAGCTGTTGAAGGCCATTCGATGTTGACAAGTAAGGATCTGAGAGACTAAGGCATTTGATGGGTCAGCGCTGTGAGTTTGAAGATGGGATAATGGTGAGGCTGGGCCAGAGAGGAATGCCATGAGCCAGTTGTCAAGACTTCAGTGAGTGATGGGGAGCAACTGACAGGTCGGTAGTGTAGCCAAATGGCGTGAATTTTATGAGTGAGTTTTTTTTTTTTTTTTAAACATGGCATCCAAGGAATAAAGGTCCAGAAGTATTACCAGGTCTTGAATATACATCCGGGAATGCTACCCTCAGAGGCCAAAGGATGCAGATGTCTACTGGTGCACCCTCTGCTTGGGGGTGCTCAAAGGAGGCGTGTCCTTGACTGTGTGAGGCAAGGAGGAGATCGCTCTTGAGGGAGTGGGAGTGCAGGGGGAAGTTCAGGAGCTGGAAGGCTAGGGCCCAGGCGCAATGGCCTGTTGCAGAGCTTGTGTGTTGAAGCAAGGCGGGAGGGCTCCACGGCAGCTAGGAAAATGAAGAGTTGGTGAATGCTGAGAGGCAGCTCTTGGGTGGATCAGGATTATTTAGTGTATCTCAGGTGTGCTTGATCCATCCGCCCTCCTAGGTCCGTATCCATTCACAAGGGCTGACTGGAATGCTCTAAGTTTATTTTTTCTGAGCGGCCTGCATATGGAGAATTTATCTTGATGAATAGTTTAGTGCTCTAGCCATGCAGGAACTCAGGAGGCTGAGATGGGTGGATCACTTGGGACCAGGAGTTTGAGACCAGCCTGGGCGACATAGTGAGACCCCATTTCAAAAAAAATAAAAAGAGTTTAGTACCCTGCCACCTAGAAAGTATCCTTTAACTCCCATAGTGCAGTGTCAGTAACCCTTGCTGAACACTTTGGGAGCTCTGCTAACCACAAATCACTACTTCTGGCTTTTTGTTTGTTTGTTTTTTGAGACAGGGTCTGGTTTTGTTGTCCAGGCTGGCGTGTGGTGGCGCGATCTTGGCTCACTGCAACCTCAGCCTCCTAGGCTCAAGCCGTCCTCCCACCTCAGCCTCCTGAGTAGCTGGGACTATAGGCACATGCCACTAGGCCCGGCTAATTTTTTTATTTTTGTGGAGACGGGGTTTCACCATGTTGCCCAGGATGGTCTTAAACTTCTGAACTCAAGCGATCCACCCACCTTGGCTTCCCAAAGTGTTGAGATTACAGGCATGAGCCACAGTTCCCAGCCTACTTCTGTTTTTTGTGATGAAGTGGCCGAGAGGTCGTGGGTAGCTAGCTCACATATGGTCAAGGCCCCAATACTAGTTTTAAGATTGTGCATATTATAAATTTAAGCACTTTCCAACATTTCTTATACACTGGGTGTTTTTTTTTTCTTTTCTTTTTTTCTTTTTTTTTTTTTGCAGGTTGTAATATTGTTTTTCTAGAGCATACATTGGTAATACAATGTATTACCAACTTTCTGGAGTTTTTGGTCTGGAAAAACAATACTACATGAGTTAAACGATCCTTTAACACGCTCCAGTCTTCTCTTCAGTGAGTAAGGCATGCACTGAGTTTGCATTCGGTGAGAGTGAGGGGCACTTTTCCTTGCCCCTAGGGGTGAGAAACCTCTTTGCAAGGCTTCTTGCTTGTTGACTGCTCCTGTGTAGAATGATGGAAAACCCCAGAAACATCTGTGCTAGACCCGCTGTGCCTTTAGGGCTGAAACAACAGGTAAAAATAATGAGCTTTCAAAAGGAATATAATGTAACACACATAGCTGGAAGCCATCCTGTTTGTGAAATAACACTGTTTGTCTGTACTTGTGCTACTTGACCACAGAGAGGAAACTCAGTTGCCTTCGGGTTCTTCTACCGTTTTTTTTTTTTTTTAAAGTCTCTCACCTCAATGCCTTTTTTCCTTCAAGGTTCCTTCAGTTCATGTTTAGTTTACTTACCTGTAGAAATGTTTATGTCTATTATTTCTGTTGGTTGATTCAATGGGAAAAAGAGAGATTATCACACTAATTACAGCAAACATAATTACAACAAATCATGCACTATTCTGAGAGATGCACATATATCAACTCATTTATTCCTCACAATGGCTAGGTGGTATTGTGCTCATTTTACAGATGAGGAGGCTTGTGGCATAGAGTAACCCAAGCTCACAAAACTAGTAGGATTCAAAAGACAGGCCGTCTGGCCGGGTGCAGTGGCTCACACCTGTAATTCCAGCACTTTGGGAGGCCGAGGCGGGTGGATCACTTGAGGTCAGGAGTTCGAGACCAGCCTGGCCAACGTGGTGAAACCCTATCTCTACTAAAAATACAAAAATTAGCTGGGCATGATGGTGCACACCTGTAATCCCAGCTACTCAGGAGGCTGAGGCAGGAGAATTGCCTGAACCCAGGAGGCAGAGGTTGCAGTGAGCCAAGATTGTGCTGCTGCCCTCCAGCCTAGGCGACAGAGCCAGACTCCATCTAAAAAAAAAAATAAATAAATAAACAAATAAAAGAAACAAAACCCGAACAGTCAAACTCCAGAGTCAGTGTAACCCAGGCGTCCCCAGGCCCCAAGCCACGGACTGGTACCAGTCTGTGGCCTGTGAAGAACCAGGCCCCACAGTAGGAGGAGAGTGGCAAGCAAGCTAGTGAAGCTTCATCTGTATTTACAGCAGCTCCCCATCCCTCACATTACTGCCTGAGCTCCGCCTCCTGTCAATCAGCGGTGGCATTAGATTCTCTTAGGAGCGTGAACTCTGTTGCGAACTGCGTATACAAGGGATCTAGGTTTCTCATTCCTTATGAGAATCTAATGCCCAGTGATCTGTCACTGTCTCCCATCACCCACAGATGGGACTGTAGTTGCAGGAAAACAAGCTCAGGGCTCCCACTGATTCTGCGTTATGGTGAGCTGTATAATTATTTCATTACACACTACAATGTAAGAGTAATAGAATTAAAGTGCACAATAAATGTGATGCACTCGAATCACCCCAAAACCATCTCCACCCAAGTCTGTGGAAAAATTGTCTTTCATGAAACCAGTACCTGACGCCAAAAAGGTTGGGGACGGCTTTTCTAACTAGAATTCAATTGCCTGTTTCCTCAGGAGGGAATAAAATATCTAAGATACAGGTCTGATTTTAGCTTTTTCAAAATCTGACATTTTGACCTGTTTCTATTTATAATTCCATTACACTGAACTAGCAAGGTTCTTTAAGAATTTTATGGAAGAACTTATATTGCCTGTGGGAATTTAACCTAAAATTCCCTACGCTAAAAGCTCATCATTGGGCCAGGTGTGGTGGCTCACACCTGTAATCCTAGCACATTGGGAGGCTGAGGTGGGCAGACTGCCTGTCCTCAGGAGTTCAAGACCACCGTGGGCAACATGGTGAGACCCCTGTCTCTACTAAAAATACAAAAAATTAGCTGGGTGTGGTGGTGTGCACCTGTGGTTCCAGCTACTATGGAGGCTGAGGCACAAGAATAGCTTGAACCTGGGAGGTGGAGATTGCAGTGAGCCAAGATCGTGCCACTGTACTCCATCCAGGTGACTGAATGAGACTCTGTCTCCAACAAACAAACAAACAAACAAAAAACAAAAAAACCCTCATCATTGATCATTGCAAGTAAAAATGTTCAGGGGATGGGAGTCAGTAGGCTGAGGTTGACTTTCCACAAAGTGTACATGTTGAAGCTTGACGATCTGGGATTGTTCCTCTTCTGTTAGATGAAAGATAAAGTTCTCTAATCCTCCTAATTGGCCAGAATTCAGCCACTGAAAAAGATCAGAAGTCAATAACAAATGCAGTATAGAAATGAGGTTTATGGTAATTTTTTCCTGCCTGCACATTTAGTGAATATTTATTAAGAATGATGAGATCATGCTTCGTTTTTAAGAGTTAGGATGACCAGTCCTGGACCTGGCCTGCCAGCCCTTACCATGAGGCCAGACCTGGATGTGTCGTCTCAGTTGACCTTGATGTAGTATTTGATTGATGATAAGTTGGCTTTTACTAATGGATTTCCATTTAGACTCCTGAGGAATTTTTTTTTAAAGTCCGTAAAGGATGAATAATTTAGAGAGATAAAGTAAAAGGGAAAAAAGTAGAAATAAAGGAAAAAGCTGCTGTGTTGTTTAGATATTTAAAGGACTTAGCTTTTCAGAATCACCAGTACAATCTCCCAACTCCTCTACCCCCAAAGAAAACTATGGGGAAATAGTATTTTTGGTTTGCCAATAGAATGCAAATAACAATTTCAGTGATGTGGTATACATTTTTCTTGGAGCTTAGGAGTGAATTGCCTCATGTTTTCATCTCAGTTTTATTTTCACATTGTGACTTTATTTGTGTTCTTATCTTTGGAGACATTGTCATCCTAGCTCTTTTAATGATCCGATCAATGGAGACTAGTAAAGAAGAATGCTGACTTCAGTTTGGCACAAGGTACCATTTTTATGGTTAGTGCCTTACAAACTTTCAGATTATCCAAACGTGGCAAATCAGTGTTGTCTCCTAAAAGCCCGGGCCTGGCTGGGTGCAGTGGCTCCCGCCTGTGATCCCAGCACTTTGAGAGGCCGAGGCAGGAGGATCATGAGGTCAGGAGATCAAGACCATCCTGGCTAACATGGTGAAACCCTATCTCTACTAAAAATACAAAAAATTAGTCAGGCATGGTGGCACACGCCTGTAATCCCAGCTACTTGGGAGGCTGAGACAGAAAAATCACTTGAACCAAGGAGGCAGAGGTTGCAGTGAGCCCATATCGCCCACTGCACTCCAGCTTGGGCGACAGGGCAAGACTCCGTCTCAAAAAAAAAAAAAAAAAAAAAGACCGGGCCCATGATTCATGGAAGGAGACCTGCAGGCTCATGCTGTGAGCCTCTCCCTGTCCAATTCCTGGCTTTTAATTTAAGTCAGGAATTATTTCACCTCCAGGAATGGATTATAAATAATTCCCCTGTGGCTTTCCTCTCTTCAGTGTCTCCTTCCCCAACCTGCTGTATTACTGTACTGGTTTCCTCTGGCTGCTGTGACAGATTTCCATAGTTTTAGTGACTTAAAAAAACATGAGTTGTTATGCTGCAGTTCTATAGGTCAGAAGTCTGCTATGAGCAGTAGACTCCCTACGCTAAAACTCGAGATGTTGGCTGCTCTTTCCTGCAGGCCTCAGAGGGGAATCTCTCTGATCATTTCTCTGTCGCCACCTCTCCCTCTGAGCACAACTGGGAAAGGTTCTCCCTTTTGATGACCCTTGTGGTTAGATCGGATCCACTTGGGTAATTCAGGATAATCTCTCCCTGTCTCACAGTTGTTAATTTAATTTAATCCCATCCGCAAAGTCCCTTTTGCTGTATAAAATAGCATACTCAGGCCAGGCATGGTGGCTCACGCCTGTAATCCCAGCACTTTGGGAGGCCGAGGCAAGTGGATCACCTGAGGTCAGGAGTTTGAGACCAGCCTGGCCAACATGGTGAAACCCTATCTCTACTAAAAATACAAAAAATTAGCCGGGCGTGATAGTGGGCGCCTATAATCCCAGCTACTTGGGAGGTGAGGCACGAGAATCACTTGAACCCGGGAGGTGGAGGTTGCAGTGAGCTGAGATCACACCACTGGACTCCAGCCTGGGCAACTGAGTGAGACTCCATCTCAAAAAATAAAATAATATAACATACTCGCAGTGCCCCACAAGTAGGATGTGGGCATCACTGGCGGGGGAGGGGTCATTTGTTTGACCACCACAAGTACCTTCAGATATTTTTTAATAAAATGACTTCAGGTGCATAACTGTCTTCCTCAAACAGTTCTACTGACTCTCCCATGGCTGAGAGGAGGATCTGGTCCCAAATTTTCCACCTGCACTGGAGTGATTCTTGAATCCAGCTTTAATGAATCTTTCTAAACTCTCCTGCCAACACTGGCCTCGGCTTCAGCTGGGCTGGTTTCCCCGCAGCAGTGAGAAGTGAGAAGGCAGGTGCTAAGCCTGTGATAAGATTGCTGTTCTCCTTCCATTTCTCCTTTGCTGTCTCCATCATTCAGGATGCCGCTCAGCTTTCTCCTGTCCAGCCCCTTGCTGACTCTTCCTGCTGCTCCTGATTCTTGTTCACAGTTCTCCAAGTGAACTTTTTGTCCATCCACTTACTTTGAAACCCATTAATATTCTGTTTTGCATTATTGATATGTATGCGTTTGTGTATGTTTTTTTAATTCCTCAAATTCTGAGCTCCAGGAGGGAAAATATGTGTTTTAGAAATATCTCTGTATATTTATTGTAGAACTGTGCTATTACCGTGAAGGTCTTCTCTAGATTTTTATGGTATGGAATTTCTAAGTTTCTCTTGGATTACCAGTGTTCTGATTTCTTTGAAACTGGACTATATTTAGAACCTGTTGTGTTCTAAGATAAGGAAAGTGACAATTTTAAGCTATGATATAATCATAAGAAGTACAGAATAAATCATGTAACGTTGGAATGTGTTCTTTAAGCTGGTAGAGTATGTCGTCTTTCTTCGTTACTCAAAACTAGCTATTGATCAGGAGCATGGTACACTTTTGAATTGCATTGATTGTTTGGCAAAAAAAATAGTCTTTTACTTGTTGGTTGTTAAATATGGTTGTTTTACCTTCTTTCCCCCAACCCCTTGCCCCAAATCTGTTCTGTGACCCTTACTGATTTTCAACGCTGTTGTGTAGAATTCAACCAAAGCGCCTCTCAAGAGATCAAACGTGGAGAAGGTGACTAACGTACAGATCCTGGTGTTGTTTGGTATCCTGTTGGTCATGGCCTTGGTGAGCTCGGCGGGGGCCCTGTACTGGAACAGGTCTCACGGCGAAAAGAACTGGTACATCAAGAAGATGGGTAAGTGTCGGGGTGGGTTGCGTGCTCCAGTGGAAGAAAACCATTCTTGAGACGTTCTTGCAGGCGTGGTTGATGTGTGGTGTCCCTGCCGTCCTTCTGTTCCCTTCAGTTACTGTACATAATGCCAGCCCTTCAAGGAGAATTGAGATTAGGATCATGTGACGAAGCGAAGATAGGCACATTTGGGAATTGTTTTATACCCAAATGGTTATTTTTAAACTCTGCGTTAAAGTATTTTCTTAGTAGTTGCCCTAGGAATTACAACGTATTTCCTAATTTATCCAAATCTACTTTTGATTAATACTAACTTAATTCTAGTAAAATACAGAAACGTTACTCCAGGTGTACCTCCATTTCCTCTCCTGCTTGGTGCTATCATTGTTATATTCCATTTATCTGTGTCGTCAACTCCAAAATACAGTGTTATAATAATCTATGTCTCTTAAAGAAGCTAAGGGAAAAAAGAAAAAAGCATATTGCTAGGGTTTTTTGTTTGTTCGTTTGTTTTGTTTTGGTTGTTGTTGTTGTTTTGAGACGGAGTCTCGCTCTGTCACCCAGGCCGGAGTGCAGTGGTGTAATCTCGGCTCACTGCAACCTCCACCTCCTAGGTTCAAGCGATTCTCCTGCCTCAGCCTCCTGAGTAGCTGGGACTACAGGCATGTGCCAACATGCCTGGATGATTTTTGTATTTTTAGTAGAGACAGAGTTTCACCATGTTGGCCAGGCTAGTCTCGAACTCCTGACCTCAGGCAATCCACCCGCCTCAGCCTCCCAAAGTGCTGGGATTACAGGGGTGAGCCACCGCACCCGGTCAGGATTGTTTTATATTAACATATTTACTTACCATTTCCAGGTCTCTCTCTTCATTTCTTCCTGTGGATTTGAGTTAACAGCTGGTGCCATTTCTTTGCTTCATGTATCTTCATTCTCTCCTCACTCCTTTGTACTGTCATATATATTACATCTGTATATAAGTTCAACAATGCAATTTTATGATGCTTTTCGCAATTGCTTTTTTAAAATTGAGAATATATAAGTATACTATCTTTTATAAATACTATAGAATTACCATTACTAGTGTCCTTTGTTTATGTGGATTTTAATTATTGTCTGGTATCTCTTTCATCCTGGAGAGCTTCTTTAGTATTTCTTGTATTTGTAATTGTCAGGTAGACATTTGTTTATACCTTAGAGATATTTGTAACTGTTGGAACTTAGAGATCTTATTTAGAAACTCCTTAATTCTACAGGAGAACAGGAGAGCAAAGTAATATGTCAGGAAGAAAAGCAACCAGCAGGAAAAGTGGAAGGCTTGGTAGTGAGTAGGAAGTGAAGGGATTGTGGAAAGGTAACAGCGTATGCCTGCTTCTCCTGTACCTTCCCAGCTCCTTGGCTTTCCGTCACAGCTACCCTCCAGAACTCTAAATCGGAATCATACTACCACCATTTGATGTAATTTCCTGGGAAAAAACCCAATAACTGTGGTTTGGAGCCATTACAAATTCTCAATCTCCCTCCGATCCTAACCTGCTCCTATCTTTATTCTCATTCTAGTTCCCTTCACAGATAGCTTTAATACCAGTTAAACCCTGTTGCAGCGTTTTCCTTAAGCCTCTTGCTAAGTTAAGAAGATCTCACTACTTTACCCTTCAAGCAGAAGATCGTGGCTGTCAAGGAAAGAACCTCCCTTTTGATGCCCCCAGACCTTCTGCCCCTCTCCCGCCCTCATTCTCTGCTCCTCCTGGAGCTGATGCTGCCTCTGCTGTGGACTCCATCCCCTAGGGTCCTGTTCCATCCTTAGGGATCTCGTTCCTTCCAGATATCCCTTCTCTTATCTTTAGTCGGGCTCAAGACTTCTCCTCTTTGTCTGCTTCTCTTGTTCACACTTTTGTCCGTCTTTGCAGCTCTTTGGAGTATCCCCAATATACATGTACCTTAGTGAGACTGTAGGTATTCCTTACAACCATTTCAAAGGCCTGTTTTCTTTTCTACATTCTTTCAAGTTTGCTTCTTTTCTCTGTTCTTCAAAACTTGACACCAGCATTTCTTCTTCCGGATGGCCTTCAGGGACCATGCCTTCCCACTGGAAAGCCCCCTGTGTTGGTTCCCGCCACGCCCTGTGAGCCTCTCTTTAGTAGATGCATCCTGCTGTGCAGTCGCACTGTGGGGCCTCTGTGCCTCCTACGGAAAGCAGCCTTGGAACTCACAGTTCCTGACATACAGGAGGTGCTCAATCACTGTTTGAACATGAATCTCTAAGTAAGCCAATAGACTCTGGTTGTGAACACCTTTCAGATACTCTGGTTTCCTTCCACAGACACCACCTCAGATAATTTTGGGTACAACCTGCTGACATTCATCATTTTATACAACAATCTTATTCCCATCAGTCTGTTGGTGACTCTTGAGGTTGTGAAGTATACTCAAGCCCTTTTCATCAACTGGGTGAGTATGAAAGCAGAGTTGAGTCCCTATTTTCCAATGTTATTTCAGAGCTTTTGGCATTTGATTGAGCGCTCAAAAAAGAAGAACTATGTTCATTTACCATTATTAGGTCCAGGGGCTTAAACTGGCCGTACAGAGAACTGGCCCGGGATCCCAGGTGAGGGTGTTTTTGGGGAGTGGCGAGGGCAGTGGTTCCTATTCGAGGGGTTGTTGTGAGGATTGGTCAGATGATGGGGTGGAATGCTGAGCCGGCGCCTGTCATCTGGCTGCACCTGCAGTTGATGCTTTTAACATCTAGTTAGTGCTAAAGAAAAGGCCTCTTGGGTGTGTTTACTGTAGTGGTCACTCGCATATCAAAATTCATTGTGACAGTCCACTTGGATTTGATTGTAAGGGTGGAGATAAGATTTTTAAAGGACTGCCATGGCCCTTAAGCAATGGACTTCAGCAGCCAGTGTTTGTAGACCAGGCACTTTGATATGCATTTTTATTTGATCTTCACAACAATCCTGTCAACAAGGTCAGAATCGTGAGTTAGTCTAGGTTGTGAAATGATTATCTTGAAACCAAATCTCATATATATTATATAAATATAAATCATATATGTGTGTGTGTGTATATATGTATGTCTATATATATATATTTCTTTTTGAGATGAAGTCTTGCACTGTCGCCCAGGCCGGAGTGAAGTGGTGTGATCCCAGCTCACTGCAACCTCCATCTCTTGAATTCAAGCAATTCTCATGCGTCAGCCTCCCCAAGCAGCTGGGATTACAGGCGTGTGCCACCATGCCTGGCTAATTTTTGTATTTTGAGTAAGGGCAGGGTTTCACCACGTTGGCCAGACTGGTCTCCAACTCCTGACCTCAAGTGGTCTGCCCATCTCGGCCTCCCAAAATGCTGGGATTACAGTCGTGAGCCACCGTGCCCGGTCAATTTTCTGTATATTAATTCTATGCTTCCCCTCAAATCACAGGGCTTCTCTATCCTAGTTGCCACTGCTTTTCACCCCAGAATTTGAAATTAGCATTTCTTTTTTGTTTTTCTTTTTTTTTTTTTTTTGAGACGGAGTCTCACTCTGTCGCCTAGGCTGGAGTGCAGTGGCACTTTCTTGGCTTATTGCAAGCTCTGCCTCCCAGGTTCACGCCATTATCCTGCCTCAGCCTCCCGAGTAGCTGGGACTACAGGCTCCAGCCAGCATGCCTGGCTAATTTTTTTGTGTTTTTTTAGTAGAGACAGGGTTTCACTGTGTTAGCCAGTATGGTCTCGATCTCCTGACCTCGTGATCCGCCCACCTCGGCCTCCCAAAGTGCTGGGATGACAGGCGTGAGCCACTGCCCTTGGCCAAAATTAGCATTTCTATTAAAATAAAAGTGTTTTAAATGACCCGTGCTTAGCTTCTTTTCTGTGTTCATCTGAATGAAGGATTAATGTTATATATTTTCTGAAATTCTGTCTCTTGTTCTCTCTCTCTCAGGACACAGATATGTATTATATAGGAAACGATACTCCTGCCATGGCCAGGACATCAAACCTTAATGAAGAGCTTGGGCAGGTGAAAAAGCCTCTTTGGGAATTTTGGGAATGGTGACATGAGCATGAGGGGACATGAGTGTTAGCAGAAGAACCGTGGAGAGATTTTGCAAACATGCCTCTCCACGAACATGGCTAGAACATCTGAAGAGCTATATAATACTTGTGACTGTGCCATTAGATATAAGCGTTACTCGGTTTTGTCTTGCTTTTTGAGACACAGCCATATCGTATCACCCAGAAGTAACCTGCAAAAAAAAAAAAAGTAATATAAAAAATACAGTGCAACATCATTTGGAACCCTTAAAACAGTATTATCAGGAGCAAATGACAGGGAAAACGATGGCTAAGATACTCAGATATTGAGTAACCCTTCAAAACGTGTTGGGGCCAATTTAAAGGACATGCATTTCTCGCATGTTCTGGATTTTGTCTCTGGAATATTCTAGGGAACAGTATCTTTTGCACCTTTACCCCTGAACTCCTCTTGCCTTTACTAAGTTATGCTTTGCATTATGTCTGTGTCTGACATTGAAATTCTTGTAAGGAATAACCTCTTTTTAAATGTTTTAATTTAATTTAATTTCTTTTTTCAACTTTTATTTTAGATTCAGAGGGTACCTGTGCAGGTTTTTTATGTGGGTGTATTATGTGATGCTGAGGTTTGGAGTATGAATGATACCATCACTCAGATACCTGAGCCTAGCACCCAACAGTTTTTCAACGCTTTTCCCCAAACCCGTCTAGTAGTCCCCAGTGTTTGTTGTTCCCATATTTATGTCCTTGAGTATGCAATGTTTAGCTCCCACTTAGTAAGTGAGAACATGCGGTATTTGGCTTTCTGTTCTTGCATTAATTCACTTAAGATAATGGCCTCCAGCTCCATGCATGTTGCTGCAAAGAACATGATTTCTTTTTTTTTTTTTTTCTGGCTGTGTATTCCATGGTGTATACGTACCACATTTTCTTTATCCAATCCACTGTTGATGGGCATCTAGGTTGAGTCCATGTCTTTGCTGTTGTGAATAGTGCTGTGATAAACATGTGTTTTTTTGGTAGAACAATTTGTTTTCTTTTGGTTATATATCCAGTAACAGGATTACAGGTCAAATGGTAGTTCTGTATTAAGTTCCTTGAGAAATCTGCGCACTGCTTTCTACAGTGACTGAACTAATTTGCACTCCCACCAATAGTGGATAAGTGGCCCCTTTTCCGTACAGCATTGCCAGCGTCTGTTGTTTTTTGACTTTTTAATGATACCCATTCTGACTGGTGTGAGATGGTATCTCATTGCGGTTTTGAATTGCACTTCTCTGATGATTAGTGATGTGGAGCATTTTTTCATATGTTTTTTGGCCACTTGTATGTTTCTTTGGAGAATGTCTGTTCATGTCTTTTGCTCTTTTTTTTAATGGGCTTGTTTGGTTTTTGCTTGTTCAGTTGTTTAAGTTGCTTATAGATTCTGGATGTGAGACCTTTGTCAGATGTATAGTTTGCAAATATTTTCTCCCATTCTGTAGGTTGTCTGTTTACTCTGTTGGTAGTTTCTTTTGTTGTCCAGAAGCTCTTTAGTTTAATTAGGTCCTACTTGTTGATTTTTAAGGACTAACCTCTTTTGAATGCCTTGCCGTTAAAGATTTTGGTTTCATTTCATACACCCTATTGAAACCCACCAGGAACCCTAAGGGGAGGGTGCTATACCTTCATTTTATAGAGAAGGAAAGGAGTAACTTATCAAAGGACACCTGGTTATTCAGCGTCAGACTGGGGACTTCGGGTTGTCTGTAGAGATCTGGCCTTCCCAAGCTTCCCTGCCTGGTGAAGGAACATTACCATGTTCCATCTCCCCTGCTCCTCAGTGTCCCTCTGTGAAAATGCAGGAGACGTGGCTCATCCATCTGAGGGTTAGAAAAACTCCCTATGGAGGTAGGCTTGCTTTCTTCATTTCTCTTTCCTCAAGGATAGAGTGAATTCTGTGGTGGTTTTTGTATATCATTTTTGAGTTTATTGCCAGAAAACTGAGGCTCAAATTTGTAGATTAAAATAGACCTTTGTAGACAAAAAAAGCAGGTGATTGTTTCTTTGATATAGTTTTCCAAACCTACTTAATATTTGCTTTGTCTTTCCTTAAATTGTGTATATTCTATGAGTGCTCTTAAATTCTTAGTATAATAGGATGGATTGTTATTACAGAGAATGTCCTTGGCACAGAGCACAAATCCTGCCATTGCCTTTGGGGCTCTGGTCACATAGAGCTGGGTACAGCACCCAGAGCAGGCCTTGGACCTTGGGCTTTCAATCCTCATTTTTTTTTTTTTCTTATGTTCTCTCATTCTAGAATGGCTTTGTCATTTCCTTTATCTGTTGGTAAAATCCTTCTCCTGTAAGAATCAGTGAGTTCTTGGTGCATATCAGGCTAAATTTGCCTCCTCTTTGAACTCTTCTCCAGTTTTCCGGGCTTGGTTAGTCTGTTTTCTATGTTCCCATAACAGTCTTTCCAAACATAAATACAGTAAAATAAGGGGTGTGAATGATGTAGTGTCCATTTCTCTCTGGAGACTTTGTGAGGGTGTGGGTGTGCCCTAGACAAGGTCTTTGGTTGCCTTCGTTAGTTTAGCACAGTGTACAGTATATAATTGTCTGCAGGTGTCATTGAACTGGACCTGAATAATTCAAGGATTGAAAGTACCCGTGGATGCTTCAGTAATTCATCCTAATTGAGGGTATGGGGAACGTTTGCATGGGGAAGAAGTTTTGAGTTGGTACTTTAAGGACAAGTTAAAATTTAGTAGGCAAAGTGATAGCAAATCTTGATAAGCCCTTATTATAAAATGTTCATTTTTAATTGTTTTTTTTTTTGTTTTTTTTGTTTTTTTTGTTTGAGACAAAGTTTTGCTCTTGTCGCCCAGGCTGGAGTGCAATATTTGTTTATATCATGATCTCAGCTCACTGCAACCTCTGCCTCCCGGGTTCAAGTGATTCTTCTGCCTCAGCCTCCTGAGTGGCCGGAATTGCAGGCACCTGCCACCATGCCCGGCTAATTTTTTTCATATTTTTAGTAGAGATGATGTTTTGCCTTGTTGGCCAGGCTGGTCTCAAACTCCTGACCTCAGGTGATCCACCTGCCTTGGCGTTCCAAAGTGCTGGGATTACAGGTGTGAGCCACTGCACCTGGCCTTTAATTTTTTTATATGATATTTTAATTTTCTTGAGAATGCAGAAAGAATCCCTGCTTACTAAAAGGCAGATTCTACTAAATTTTCCATACCCCTAGACTTACTGCATATAAAAATGTGTTTAAAGTATAAATTACCCCTAGGGTACTAATATTATATTTAGAGGTAGTATTTGACTTCTTTAGGAGCTTGAATACTTGAAGTCCCTCTGATCGTTTTCAAAAAACTTCCCAGTGTATTCGTCTATATTGTATCTTTAAGAAAAATTACTGAGTAAGCAATTCATGTAATGAGTCCCTCTTCTATACAACAGTAAAACGCTGCTTCCCCTAGGCCAGTTCTCTGGGGTCTCTGGAAGGTATCTACCACTCAGCAGGTCCTGACGCCTCTTTGGAAGACTACTGAGAAACCGGAGATTCCTCTGGAGGCAATTCTGTTAATTCCTCTCCCTTGCTAATCCATGACATCATTTCTCAAATGTGACGTGCAGAGTGATAGTGCATATAAAGCAGTAGCACATCATTCAGTCAGAGCTCTTACTGCAGCTCCGTCTGCATATTTCGGTGCACTTTGACTGTATAATTAGTTATGGAAGAAGGTTTGTTAAGTGGTCTAAACATTAAAGTATTAATATATTTTTTGTTATTAATTTGCTTTAAGGAAATCTACCCGTTTCATACAGGTTTTGAAAAATATAGAAGGGAAGACTTCATTTGTTGATCTTTGCATCTCAATACTTCCTGATGTATATTTCTTTTATTCTTTGATTTAGGTGAAATATCTCTTTTCTGACAAGACTGGAACGCTTACGTGCAATATCATGAACTTCAAGAAGTGCAGCATTGCCGGAGTAACCTATGGGTCAGTGTTTATCACGTACTGAAAATTTACTTGTAGTCTTTCAAGAAAGTAGGTTTATTTTTAGCTACTTAGTCGAATATCTTGACTTACTGATGTTTTGAAAGGATAAAGATCCTTTCAAAATTAAAAAAAAAATCGAAATCCTTTACAATAGATTTAGATATGTAGTTACTATGGAATGCGTTTATAGTTGAATGGATCCCAAATTAAACTCAGAACAGTTAAAACATGGTTTATTTCTGACCGGGCGCAGTGGCTCACACCTGTAATCCCAGCACTTTGGGAGGCCGAGGCAGGTGGATTGCCTGAGGTTGGAAGTTTGAGATCAGCCTGGCTAACATGATGAAACCCTGTCTCTACTAAAAATACAATATTAGCTGGGCATTGTTGCATGCATCTGTAATCCCAGCTACTCGAGAGGCTGAGGCAGGAGAACCGCTTGAACTCGGGAGGCAGGGGTTGCAGTGAGCCAGAATTGCACCACTGCACTTCAGCCTGGGTGACAGAGTGAGACTCCATCTCAAAACAAACAAACAACAACAACAACAACAAAAGTGGTTTATTTCTGCAAATATTAACTTGGTAAGAAGTCCCTGAGAATCTGTAAGTTTGTATATCTAATCTAAGAATTATACATTTACTCAGGTTTTGATCAGAATGTCTATCTTTTGATCACAGTTTTGTGACCACTCTGTTTTCCCTTTCTTTGGCAGTCACTTCCCAGAATTGGCAAGAGAGCCGTCCTCAGATGACTTCTGGTAAGTAGATTCTAGCACTTCTTGACACTTTAGTGGAAAAGCCTTTGGAGTAATTTTTATTTATTTATTTACATTTTTAGAGACAGCCTCACTCTATTGCACAGGATGGAGTGCAGTGATACAGTCATAGCTCACTGTAGTCGTGAACTCCTGG